TTTGACTGGCTACTTTTATTACAAGTTCGAGCAAATACTCACTCGACCATTATGCCTACGGGCTACATTATTTTGAGTTCGAAACATTCACTCGACTATTAAGCCTACGGGCTACTTTTATTACGAGTTCGAGCAAATACTCACTCGACCATTACGCCTACGGGCTACATTGTTTTGACTGGCTACTTTTATTACAAGTTCGAGCAAATACTCACTCGACCATTATGCCTACGGGCTACATTATTTTGAGTTCGAAACATTCACTCGACTATTAAGCCTACGGGCTACTTTTACTACGAGTTCGAGCAAGCACTCACTCGACCATTACGCCCACGGGCTCGACTATTAAGCCTACGGGCTACTTTTATTACGAGTTCGAGCAAATACTCACTCGACCATTACGCCTACGGGCTACATTGTTTTGAGTTCGAAACATTCATTCGACTATTAAGCCTATGGGCTACTTTTACTACGAGTTCGAGCAAGCACTCACTCGACCATTACGCCCACGGGCTACATTATTTCGACTTCGAAACACTCACTCGACTATTAAGCCTATAGGCTACTTTTACTACGAGTTCGAGCAAGCACTCACTCGACCATTATGCCTACGGGCTGCATTATTTCGAGAAATTTACTCGACTATTAAGCCTACGGGCTACTTTTATTACGAGCTCGAGCAAGCACTCACTCGACCATTACGCCTACGGGCCACATTATTTCGAGTTCGAAACATTCACTCGACTATTAATAAGCTACTTTTACTCTGAGTTTACATTAACTCAACCATTACACCTACGGATTATGTTTCTTCAAAGTTTGAATCATCAAGTCAACTAGCAAACCTAAGGGCTACATCACTTCAAATCTGATCGATCATAGAGACTGCGAGATCAACATTTGATTAAAGGTCTTCACAAAACAAAAACAAGTCGACCTTGTTATATATATATATACAAGATTGCCTGTATGATTAATTTACAAACGTGAAGAATTAGAAACTAAGCTTCCTGGTCACCCACCGGAGCATTCACTCTACTGTTGATCTCTTCCCCATATTCGGATCCGCTTTTGCTATCATCGTCATAATCATCATCAGAAGCCAAGGCTTCAGCTTCTGCTTCGAGCTCTTTTGCTTTTTTATCTCTTCAGTAAGGTCGAAGCCTCGAGCGTGTATCTCCTCGAGGGTCTCCCTCCGAGACCTACATTTAGCAAGTTCGGCACCCCAAATGAGCTCGAGCATCGGCAATATTCGCCGCCTCCCGGGCCTCAATCTGAGCAGCCTCAGCATCAGCCCGATATACAGCAATGGACTTATACGCCAAAACTTTCGATGACTCAACCTCCGTATTAGCCTCAGCAAGCCATGTTTCAAGCTCGTCGATCTTCTTAGCTTGAACCGACCCCTTTAGCTTGACACTTCGAAGTTGAACGTTGGCCGATAATAATTTTGTCAAAATGGTTTCTTTTTCCGCAGCTAGGCAGTCGATAGTCTCCTTCCACCGATTGCATTCAACTCGGATTTGATCAACTTCTTCTCGAAGTAACCCGATCTTTTCGATCTTTTGCTGCAACTGAGACAACGAAGGGTTAACTTCCACAGTTGAGTCAAACCCATACTTTAACAAAACGAGGCTCACCTGCTTATCAAGCTCGACCTTTTCTTCACGAACCTTAGTCAAATCCGCTTGGAGATCCCTTATAGCCTCGTCCTTTTGGCTGCAAAGAAGTTGCATAGCGTCTCTCTCACCTGAGACCTTCCGGAGCTCGACCTCACACTGGCTAAGATCGACTCGAAACCTACTAATGGCCTGCACAGTAAGAAACACAAGTCAAGTATGGAAAAGAACAAAGCAACCAAGTGTGGAAGAATCATTACCCGAGTAATGAAACGTTGAGCCTCATCTAATAAAAGAGAAGCGTCACCGATATCGGAAGCATCATCGACTCCAGTAAAGCAATCCCTAAAAGGGTCCCCCACACTAGAGCCTGCCCCGATATCGGGAGTCTTCAATTCTCGAGCTTCCTTTAACGCCTCTTCAGAAAAAGTTGGGAGAGAAGGCGAATGACCTATTGTCATAGCCTCGAGCAAATCACTCGGAGCACTCCGGTCGAGACTCGGGACTTCAGAACCAACCCCGACATGCACAACCGCCATCGGTTCAGGAGCTCTAGCAACCTCGATGGCCTCCGCAGATCGGATTTTCAAAGCCGAGGAGTTATCTTCTTCTTCTTCTTCTTCTTCTCTCAGTCGTTGGACCGAGTCAATCGAGAGGGAAATTGCTTTTCTCCTCACCCTCCGAGTTTTGGGCTTGGGGTCCTCAGACCGAGAGGAAGCTCTTCGCTTCTTACCCTTCCCCGGTTGCGGGACCAGGGACTTGTTTCCTTCTTCGCCGCTCGAAGGCCTCAAAGCGGCATCTCTGGTTACGCCTGCACAAGAGGAAATCGGTAACAAATAGAACGCGAAGAATACTTCGAAGGAAACAAGAAACAAACCTCACCATGGCTCTTGGCCTCCCATCTACCTTTAGCCAAATCACGCTAAGCGCGTTCGGCATAAGAGGAAGTCGAGGCTAACTTCCGAACCCAATCCTCGAGGCCAGGCACCGCTTGTGGCATTCAAAGGGTAGCTGAATATCAGGGAAAGACAACAGAAAAAATCGAAAAAGGACACGAAAAGCAAACAAGAATCACTTACGGTCAAAATTCCATTCTTCGGGGAACGACATCTTCTCTTCCGAAATAAGATCACGGGTCCTCACTCGAATATAACGACCCATCCAACCCCGATCCTTGTCTTCATCGATGCTCGACATTAAAGCCTTCGATGCCCGACGATGAAGTCTGATTAGTCCTCGGAAAATTTGAGGCCTGTACAATCGTATGAGGTGGTTCAGAGAAAAATCCAACCCCCCGACTTTGGTAGAGAAGAAGCGCAGTAAGATCACTATACGCCATAAAGAGGGATGAATTTGACCGAGGGTGAACTAATATCTTTTACAGAAGTCAATAATCACCGGGTCGACGGGTCCCAATGTGAAGAGATAAATGTAAACACTTAAAAACCTCTCCATATGAGTGGTGACGTTCTCTTCGGGAGATGGGATCTGCAATACAACCTCGGAACTCCAGTTGTAGTCTTTTCTGACGGCTTCGAGATGACCCTCCGTTATAGAGCACATGTACATCGACACGTGCTCGCACCGACCCGGAACGGATGAAGGATTCTCAACCTTAAAGTCGATCTTCAGAGTGCACGGGCCAGGAACATAGTCGTGAACGGACGGCTCCGCCAGCGCCTTATCATCGGACGACTGCGAGGAAGAAGCTTTCTCTTTTCGAGGTACGGTTTTCAAAGTTTTCGCCATTGGTACGAGAGGAAAGAATGCAAAGAAAAGTGAAAAATTGACAACACCAAAACTCTGGTGTGGGCGGCTCTGAAGCAACGAAATGAAGAGGATAAATAAGAGAATTTTGGAAGAAGAGAAGGCGCTAAAATGGTAAAGATTGTATGGAAAGACTATTTATAGACTGAGGCTTGACGATTCAGTATCAGCGGTGGCCGACCACCATTTGACACGTATTAAATGCCTCGGTAAAATCGAGCCGATGGGACAGCTATCACATACATCATGGTCGGGATCGATAAAAACGACAGCATAAAAATTGATCGAGCCGTAGGGAAATCATATCGTTTCTCGCCACATCCTTTTTCGAGAAACGAGGGGACTATCTGTGTACGGTCAAAACTGATCCTCAGTCATAAAGACTGGTCGAGACGACGACGTTTCGATCGGAGGATATCTACATGATGAGCTCGGTCGAAATCCGAAGTAGGGACGTCGAGCTTCGAGCCAATAGACCGATCAACGACAAGACTTGGTATCATTATCGAGCCCATATCCAAATCGAACTACGAGACAATTCATAGTTCATCGAAGATGCCTAGACCGACCAACACTCGCCCCGAATATCGATGCCCCAAGGCAGAATCGAGCTCGAACCAAGACTGGGGGCTCGATCTAATACCGAGCTCGAGCCAGTACCAAGCTCGCAGACAAGAGCCGTTACAACCGCACCAAGGGAGGGAATCTTGGCGAGAACCGAGGAAGAGACAAATTATCATGGGTCCTCCACTATATGAATTATTTTATTATGTTGTTATAAATAAAGCAATGACCCTCTATTATAAAAGGGGGCATCCTTGTAAGCTAAAGACACATTGCAATAAACACATCCTTTTCTCAGATACATTGAGGTTTCTTTGTGCTTGTTTCGTCTCAACTTATTCAAGTTACCAGTATTGTTATTCTTGTATCAAAGAAATTTGCGTATCATTAGAACCATACATAAATTTAACGTTATTCGATTTTTTCGGTAAACACCGGTGAAAATGAAAAAAAATTGAAGATTTGTCGATAAATCTAATTGTATTTCCGATAGTTATCGCGTTGAAATATGTTGTCAAAAGTAAATAATGAACTTATGATTTGTTTGCACTTTTGATGATTGAAAAAGACAATGCTCTGAAGTTTAGGATAATGGCCAGAGCCCAGAAGTTGTAAACTAAAAAAGAAAATTTAACTACAAATAAAAATAATAGTAGTTTAACTGTAGGACTGACATTGTCTTGAAATTCAGGAAGCGAGTCTTTGCCGTTGTGACTGTTTTCAAATATATTGCAAACGTAAAAAATTGCAAAAATGTAATACTTTTTGGGGTGATTTTTAACTTTTGAACTCCCTTGACTCACGAGCAAAACTTTAAGATCAAAAGTTAAAAGTGTTGTCTATAGACCAAGCGAAGGGAAATACTTGTTAAACTTAAAATTCAGCCCATGAAGCAAGCGGGGATAAAAATTCAAGGCCATCTGCTTTAGGGCTATTTGTGTACTTCAATGCTGGCTATATTTGAAATAATAGCCCTAAAAGTGGCTATCTGTTAAAATCATCCAAGTTGAAAAAACATTTTAATGGCCCAAATTAAATTTTCTTCGGTCCGGTTGACACCAGTTTCATTCGGCTCCGACTCCGAGCTTGCCATTCATTTCTTTCGCCGTCGGAGATCGTGTTGAGAGTTCCTGTCATCCTCGTCCAAAGCCCTAAACCCCAGTACTCTATTTCACAGTCCAAATCTCAGTAAGCTCAACAAAGAGAGATAATGAGAATGAATAAACTGAAAGTTTTACTATCACTGACTCAACCATTGCGGAGAAATGATTCCCGATTCCTCTCTAATCACCATTGCAGACACTTCTCTGCTCAACCCAGCTACGCCCATGTGGATTATATTCAAGAACAGGTTCATTCACTCATTTCTACTAAGCTGTTCAATGAATTGAAAAAGTACGTCAAAATTCTCATTTACTGTGTTATAATACGAAAGTGTTATTTTTGCATCATGTGTTGTTACAGGTTCTGGTTGAAGGAAGGGCTAAGTCAAGAGCAGCTATTCTCAATAGACCATCTGCACTTAATGCTATTACTCCTTCTATGGTTTGGCATTTTCCCTTTTCTTTTTCGCAGAATATGTTACATGGTTTTTGTATGTCTGTAGTTCACTATATTTTAAATGCTAGGCTGCTCGTTTAAGTAGATTGTACGAGTCTTGGGAGGAAAACTCAGATATTGGATTTGTCATGATGAAGGTAATGTATTGTACTGGAAGTTATTTTTCATCTTCCTGTTTTGTTAATTTATGTTTTAAAGTATCAGAGTTCAGCAACTTACACGTACCAGCAAATGTTTAAGTTTTTGATTGAATATATTGCAGGGCAATGGCAGAGCATTTTCCTCTGGAGCAGACGTTGTCACTCTTTATGAGTTGATTAATGAAGGTGTGTCCCCTTCTAGTTCTGTTTCTAATTTTCTGCTATGATCAAGCTTATTCCCGGCTTAAGTTTCTACGATGATCAAGTACTTCGGCTTAAATTTCTTCCATGATCCAGGATTCCCAGCTTAAATTTCTGATTTAAACAAAAATGTAAACTTGTTTTTAATATAATTTCAAGGATTTCAAGGTTTTCCAAGTTTTTTTGGTTGCAATCATTATGCTTGATGCTCTTGTGAACATAAGGGTTGCTGCTTCGGAAGTTCTTCGTGTGATTATTGACTGTAATTTTATGTATTCCTCCTCAATGTTATAATATAGCTGCTCCCTTTCTGTTTTCTCCTTTCTTAGGTGTAAATATCACTTAGAGTTTATAATGTGTTAGAGGCATTCAAAATTGTGGCTTAGAGGTCAGTGAAGCTGCAATGGACCAAGGAACACCAAAGTTCAAATTCCAACATAGGCAAAACAACACCTTTGATGCCTCTATTGGAATTTGAACTCAAAGGTGTGCCTATGTGCTGGTCAGAGTTATCTGGTGCCTGTGCTTGAGAGAGGTAGTAGGTATCTAGTAGATTAGTCAAAGTGCATTTGAGATGGCCTGACACCACCATTATAAAAACATATTACTCCCTTTTGTTTCATTTTATGTGGCACTATTACTATTTGGGGAGTCAAAGAGATTTTTTTAACCACAATTTTCTCAAGTATTTTTCAATATTTAGAATTATTAACTGTTAGACTTGTGGTACTTGTCATCTAGTTTCTAAATATGTAAAGTTTATTTTAAAATTTTTGAATTTTATGCCCGAGTTCGCACCAAAAATTAATTAGCTTGACACTCGACTCCGAACCCCGCCGCATAAGATGGAACAGTGAGAGTACTGTGTTATAGAAATGCTTATCTGTGTAATCAGTAATCAAGGTGATGTGGCATTTGCAGATTGTGAAAATAAGGAGCCCTACAGGAAACAAATTGAATACCTAAGTGGAACAGTTCTTTCTCATAACCTAGTGAGTGAGAATGGATCATCATTAATCCCACCGTCTGAAATGTTAATCAATGAATTTGTTTGATTTCCTTGCTTCATAAGAGGGAACTAGCAGAGTGATCATGTCAAGCTGCCATGTTTGTGAAGCTCTCGTTGTCTACATCAAACGAGTCTAACTCAGACATATAATCATCATTTTCTATTGACTTAGCTTCTTCTTATGTCTGGCATTACACTTTACATTGCAACTGGAGTCTCAGATTGACTTAGAGTTTCCTATAGTTAGAGGAGAATATAAGATCATATAATAGATGAGTACACTTGCTCACAACATTCTTTACTTTTGAGGATAATAGTTAGTTTTTCAATTTATTGCCTACAAAACTATTGGCAAACATTTTCACGGTTTCCTTTATCTGCAGGGAAGATTGAGGAGTGCAAGAAGTTCTTCGAAACATTATATAAATTTGTTTACTTGTTAGGAACATATCTCAAGCCAAATGTGAGTATCACTCGTTCTTTTTCTCTTTCTGCATATTTCATTGTCAGTGAGGTTTTGTGAGTTTCGTCATCAAATTGTTGCATCTCCCTTCTCTTACTGGGAGATCTCTGCAGAAAGTTCCCTTGCCTCCCCGCTTGTGTCAATCTTAGGGATTTAAAATGCCTGTTTTAACTGTCACGTCATTTATCTCTATCTGCACAATTTAATAATCTAACTTGGCATATAATCCATAAAATGAAACTCGGTAATTGGTCTTAGGTAGAAATATGTCCAATCTGCCCAGTGAAAACTGAAATATACTGTTACCGTAAGTACTTGGAAGGCATCAAAGCTGTATGGGAGGTTACACTTCTTCGAAAGGCAAATTAGGGTTGATGCTTAGGGCTAAGACATAATAAAAAACACATAAATAATCTTGCTAGTTGCTACCATGTACTGGAAAGCTACTGCATCACGGTAAATTTATTTTCTGCTATTAGCGCACTGCAGTAACTTAAGTTGTGCATCTTGCTGCTGACTTCTTTTCTCAGCTCTGCGCACCTTGATTAAAATAGTCATTACTTTTGGTAACAAAGTCGAAATGACGAACGGTTTAAAACGTCCGAAACCAGACTTCAACGGCCACAATTTTGCTTCAGAAACTATGACCACTAAGAAGTCAAGTCATCCTTTTGATTTTTCACTTTAGTTTCCAACATTCTCTTGTTCTCAACGCACTTCTTCAACCATCCTCTCCTTAAAACAACATCTTGATACTACCACATGATCATTAGAAGTTTATAAGATGCTTTAAGTCATAGCTAAGACATGCTTGGAGACTATGGGGTGTTGCATTATAGGACACTGTATCATCTTACAATTTGACTTCTGATTTTAACTCCATGTCAAATTTAGCAAACATGCTTAAGTCAACAAGTATTATCGATCACTATGTGCAGGTGGCAATTTTGGATGGTGTCACAATGGGAAGTGGGGCAGGTATTTCGCTTCCAGGAATGTTTCGCGTTGTAACTGATAGAACTGTACGTACCTTCTCCAATGGTGCCTTTCTTTATCTTGCAAAGGATGTTGTAAGATATGCTGGCTTATTTAATTTTTTAACGTGATGTTCTTTCCCATGATACTGACAAGCGCCCTAGACTTACAAATGGAAATGGCAAAATCATTGCAGGTTTATTCTACTCCTGAGGCTCAAATTGGTTTTCATCCTGATGCAGGGGCTTCTTATTATCTTTCTCGCCTTCCTGGCTACTTAGGCAAGTTAAGAATAAAATATTACTGATAAGTAGATTTGTATGTGGGGCTATGTTGGTTGATACATACATGGACTACAAAAAGTGCCACATTGTTCTGTTCTTATCTTATTGTTTTCCTACTTTGATATGTCCATCTTGCAACATATTTTGTGCCTGATGAAACTGATATGCATTCTTTGATGATGAGGTGCATTGATATCTGCATTGACCATTTAAGTAATCCATTAATCTGGATTTCCCGGGGGGACTCGAATCTTCATCTTTTGAGGGGCCAATACTGGCACCATGGCCCCTTTGATTAAGCATTTTCTGTCTTTGGCATTCCTCTTTCTGCAATTGTCCCTTTTTTATGTTGATGTGTTAGATACCTTATCTCATACCATCAAATGGCAGTGATTGTTTGATGAACTCTCTTTATTCCTTTTGTCAGTTTAGTACCGCTGAAAACATGCTGATTGTTAAAGCAATTTACATATCAATGTATTCGACTGCTTTGACTATTACAGAAACTTTGATGGTAGGAGTTTAATAGTGTCATCTCCTTTGCAGGGGAGTATTTGGCTTTAACAGGAGAAAAGCTTAATGGCGTAGAAATGATTGCTTGTGGTCTTGCTACCCACTATTCACTCAAAGAAGTTAGTAATAAGTTATTCTATAACTAATATTCTCAACTCTTATTCTTCTTTTTTAGTAGCTCTGATGTTTGTTATTCCAACAGAGGCTTCCTTGGTTGGAGGAACGCCTTGGTAAATTGATCACAGATGATCGTCTTGTCATTGAAAATTCTCTAGCCCAGTATGGTGACCTTGTTTACCCAGATAGCAAGAGTGTTCTGCACAAGTAATGTTCTATCTTTGTTTCCCTTCTTCCATCCTTTTATTTTCTGTGACGTGCTCATTGTGAATGCTGTGGGCCCTGCTCAAGTCTATGGATTTGGAGGGGAGGAGACTAAATTACTGTAGGGTTCAATTAAATGATTCTTTAAAGAAGTTTTTAAGACAGTGACATGTTTTAGAAACTCATGGTGATACAATCTATCAGTACTTTAAATTAATATAGGTATGAACATGCATTATCTTTTGGATGTTCTACGTTTCTCCCTCCTTACCCCCTTTTACCCTTTTGGTTAATAATAATGCAAATTAAGAAATGGGAAAGGAGTGGTTTGAGAGAACACAAGAACGTTATAATAACAGGAAAAGGAAGAAGTTAATTCTCCTCCCCCCACCCCCCTCAAAAAAAAAAAAAAAAAAAGGAAAGAAAAGTTAGTGGCAGAAAAATGATGTCAAAGACTAAATGAGATGGAATTGGAGGGAGAGGAGAATATGGGTAACAATGCGGTGAACTTATGTTATCTAGTAAGCATTGTCCATAGCATCAATATTTCTATTAATGAATGTTCGGGCTATTTAATACGAGTAAAAATATGTGCTGTATCCAGTACAAACTCAAATTGAAGACATGGAACTTTTAGAAGTTAGGTGACTATGATACACAATAACACTATACCTTATCCAACAATCATACATGCCTCTAAGAATCTTCACTTTCTCATCATAATCCCCTTCCGCAAACTTTACTCCAGAAATATTGGCCCCCTAAAGAATCTTCACTTTCATTTCCTCTTATCTTTTTTTTTAAAAAAAAAATCATCTTTTTTTCTTTCATAACCTTTCATTTTAGCCTGCCGGCCCTGCCCTCTATTTTCCTTTTTCTTAGCCCCTTTTTGTGATCCAGGTTTGAGAAAATCGATAAATGCTTTAGCCAGGATACAGTTGAGGAAATTATAGAAGCTCTGGTAAGTGCTCTCTCTCTCTCTCTCTCTCTCTCTCTCTCTCTCTCTCTTCTATTGTCCTTTCTTTCTCTAGGTACAAATGCAGACACAGCTTGTACTGATCTTTAATATCAACGAATGAGAATGGTGTCTTTCACATTCTGGTAAAGCTAATATGTATGAATGTTTGAGTTTGTGGCATAACAAGGTCTACTACAAATTTCCCAGAGAAAAGTTAATCTCTGAAGTATCAGAATGTTGTATCAAGCATTAAATGTTGAACCCTAAGAAGCACGTATTTGAAACACTAGAAACCAGATTGGATAGCACCATTTTCTTTTTCCTTTTTCTTGCTTCTTTTTATCTGTTTTAAAGCATGGTAATAGAAGTTTTAGGACAATATTTAAGACTTCTCCTCCTGGATGTTGATCTTCAGAATTTGTTTAACTGGCGCTTATGATTGGTTTGATGTTTTGCCTTAAAGTATATGTGTATTCTCATCTCAGAAATCTAGTTTAGCTGTTGTTAATGTTCTAGTTGATTTCCTTTATCTAGGGGTTATGGAAGATGGTATTTGCTAGACATGCTTTATGGACTTTAGTATTCTTAGACATTTGCTTATTTCTCTTTTTACTTGCACCGAGTTCCTTCACTTGGTTTACTCTGTTGCGAAATGCAGGAAAGAGAGGCAGCAGAATCTCATGATGAATGGTGTAATACAGCTCTTAATAAAATAAAAGAAGCCTCTCCATTGAGCTTGAAAGTGGCTTTGAAATCAGTAAGCTGCTAACCATTTCCATTGCTTTTGCAATCTAGATTTTTCAGGGTTTAAAATTTATTTTTGCTGCCAAAATGTAGATTAGAGAAGGCAGATTTCAACCCCTTGATCAGTGTCTAGTTCGTGAATATCGCATATCAATTAATTGGGTGTCCAAACGGGTGTCCGATGATTTCTGTGAGGTATGTCTTCTTCTGACAATTGACTGTACAAAGTTTGTATGCATCTTATTTCGTTATAGAATGTGGAGGGAGAGGGAAGGAGGAAAAGATTCTGAGTGCTGGAAGTAAATCATTGTACCTCACTATCTTTTTTATATATATATGTGGAGGTATAATGATTCTTTTATACTCACACACATAATGGTAGTGTTCGAGCTAGCTTGCGCACACGTTGACTGTTTCAATGTGTACTTGCTACCTCTCACCAGCAAAACTACCCGGTAACTTTGTCACCAAGTCTTAGGCAGGTGGGAAGAAATCAACTAGTATTTTTTTTTTTTTTTGCATTGTTCCTCCCTATCTTTTGCCAAAGTAAAAAGCTGAAATAAAAAGGTTAATATAGTGATTTACAATCTTAAGAATAAGTATATTGGCAATAACTGGATTAGAGCTTAAAGTGATTCACATGTTAGTCCGCTTAAAATGATTTATAAATTCCGTAATCAAGATCACCTGTGCAGATTATGCAGAGGTTTATATCGGAAACCATCTTTTGTATTGGCAATAGAGGGTTGCATTAAGTAATGTAGGCTTCATAGTGGAATTTATACGTTCTATTAATTAGTAGTGCAGAGTTTTATGCCAGGATTATTTTTTCTTATAACTAGCTCTTGAAAACTAAACTCCATATACCAGCAAATGTAGCATTTTTTCCATCGATATGCTCTCTCTCTCTCTCTCTCGTTTGCCATTGATATGCTGATAAGTTATGGTGGAGAGGTTGTAAAAATCTCCAAATTTAGTTCTTAACTAAACAAGAAAAAACAGCCTCTTCTGCTACTAAGCTCCTCTTTAATGTTCAACCAAGTATAGTCGTTTCTTCCCTGTTAAGCTATGATATTTATCCTCGGAAACATTTTCAGGGTGTCCGTGCTAGATTGGTTGACAAGGACTTTGCTCCAAAGGTAATGAATGCTCTTCCAAGCATGCTTACTTAATTCCCTCTCCCCTTCCCCTCTTTTCTTTCAGCTGGGGAAAGATAAGGAAACTTATTTGTTCTTGTACTGAACAATTCAGTGGGGTCCAACGCGGCTGGAGGAAGTTACCACCGACATGGTTGACTGCTTCTTCATCCCATTAGGTGAATTAGAACCCGAACTCAATTTGGCCACTGCACTACGAGAGCCTTCTATGTGATCGATATCCCGCTTTGCTCTACATATGGGAAGTTTTATGTTCCCAGGTTCATTATAATACAAGGGACTGACTGGAAAATCAGGACTGCTAAAGACATTCCTATCAAGATGTTGGTATATTTCGGTTCCAGTGGAACATAGGTAAAATGCTTAATTGCTAATGTCTATTCAGGTACTAAATTGTGGGTACAGAAGAAAATGATAGAGCAGACTGCGTATTAATTTCATCGCCTTTTACTTTTTCAAATATATTTCTGATGTTTCGAGACCTCTCAGGAATTGATGTTTCGAGGCTCTCAGATTTGACCGTTTAGGCGTGTACATCATGAGAAGAATGTTTTGTGAATTAAATTACCAGGCTACCTTCAGATTTTCTTTTGCATATCCTGTTTGACCCATGGATAAGCGTAAACGATAATTTTGCGCGAGTAATACTACTAGCAAAGAGTTATAGTTCACCTTATGTTGTTGAAATCTGACTTGCTGAACTCTTAAGATATATGCACATGAAGTACAGGATCACAGAAATTTTTGTAATGAAACTGAAAGGGGCTTGTGCTTTACTTGCTCAAAAGGAATTTCGATTAATAGTATAGTCTTGGCTAAATAACATAGTATTATTTTAATTAATTACCATTCAAGAGTGAATGTGAATTAAAAGAAATTATGGTTACTTCAATTGCCTCATTGCTTTTGTTATTCGTGATTTTAATTGGTGAGAAATGATCCTGATAAGGTAGTATGTCAAATTTTCGATGAAGCATGCAGCCTATTTTCTATATGTTAATGCTAGAGGCGAAGTGCTGCAATAGCTACTTTTAAGTTTACTATTTAAAATATATCCACAATTTATAATGTATTTAAAGATTAGCTAATTCATTCAAACTTCAGGATTAAGTATCCTGAATTTAGAAATTGAGGACTTAGTATCCTGAATTTTTGAACTGCTAATTTAAAATTTAGGACTAAGTGTTCTGAATTTTTGAAGTACTAATTTAAAATTCAGGACACGCATATATATATATATATATATATAATGCACCGCAGAACAGTTATGCGGTCGCATAGTCGACCACATAATTGATGTCTTGAATTTTGAACTTTGAGGTTTAATTCTAGGATGGTGTGTCTTGAAGTTTAGGCGATATTGACCAATCTTTAAATACATTGTAAACTGTGAATATATTTTAAACAACATGCTTAAATACTTTGTGTCATTTCCACAATTATTTTTATCTGGAACTTTTAAATTAGACATTCACTTATCACTTCTTAGAGATGAAACCTAAGAATTCGGAACCATAATTTCAGCTATTGCTTTCGGAAATAAACTATCACTTCTTAATATTTTATGTAAAATTATTGCTTTGGGAAATAAACTTGTGCCACATAAAATTGATCCAAAAGTGCTTCAGTTATAAAATTTAGACATTACATAAAATATTACGTGGCAACAACATCTCCTGGAGCCCCGAAAATCAATGCATGTTGCGCAAATTTGTAGAATTGAAGTGCTCCTCTGGTTTAGTATTTTGGCACAAATATTAAGAAAAATATTTAATAAAATTAATTATAAATAAAGTTGACTAAATTATCTTTATCTCTTACTTAAGTGAGTAAATAATGACCTTACATGTACCTTTTGGAGTCTTCGGCTTGTTTGGATGGTTGTTACGTATTGTATTGTATTGTATCGTATTGTTTTAAATATAATATTTATTTTGATTGTTATTTAAATTTTGTTGTATCGTATCGTTAAATTTGTCGTTATGTAGTGACGAAAAATACCACTTTATATATTTAATAATCAATTTGGTGTGATCGCGTCGTTATCTTTTTTTTTTTCCCCTCATTTTGTCCTTCATTATTATTAAATAATCATATTTTATCCTTTACCCTACCTTTTAATATAATAATTGTACCTCGTACCATACTTTGTCTGTGTAATATTACAAGTTTATTCTTCACATTATTGGTGCATGACATCATGAAACAACGACAAATGATACAATCTATCCGAACGTTGTATTCATCAAAATAATACAATACAATATAATACAATACGATACATTATGAAACGAAATTTGAAAAAGCAATTAATAGGAGAACTTTTCTTCGTTTATTCAAATAATAATTATTTAGACCAAATTTAAGAATGGCAAATGGCAAAAGAATCGTGGGAGAAAAATCCGGCAAACAAATTTTCCCAAAACAGACGCTCCGTATTAAACATAACTTTTAATGAAAGTTTATCCAAATTTAATTCCTATCCATTTAATAGATAAATCCGCGATTAACTTTCCATTCCTAAATCTTATTATAATAATCTCAGCCTTTTTTTCCTTCCCATTTGTTTTGGTTGACTCATCTCTCTCTCTGTTGTTTCTCTATAAATATTCTTCACACCCTTTCATCTTCTTCCTCCTCAGTTTCTTTCTCTCTAACATTAAAAAAAAGGTAGAAAAACTCTTTGTGAAACTCATAAAGGAAAATGGAGTTTTTAAGGAAGTTTTCTCTTTGGCCTTTGCCAGTTTTTTTGATGTTTTTTGTGGTAGTTTTTACCAAAAATGGGATTAATGCTTCACATGAAGTATTTATGGAATTGCAATCTTCAAGTGCTGTGAGTGTAAGAAAAATGCATAGAACTGGTTACCATTTTCAACCCCCTAAACACTGGATCAATGGTATGTCTTTCCTCACAACTCTCTTTATTTTTTTTATTTTTATTTTTATTTTTTGTTTACATTCATATGGATATTTTTTGCGGTTGTATATACAGGATTTTATATGTATCGGCCTATTGATATCATTTGTCTTGTAAATGTGTTTATTAGAGACGAAATGGTGGTTTCAAGGTTTTATTTTATGTCTCAAATTGATATTTACTTTGCATTATTTTCAAGTGTATATATTAATACTGATTTTTAAAGAAATATTTATTCGCACACATGTATAAGAAAAGGGTATTTGTAGTGATATATTCTTCTATCTAATGGTTTATGTATGTCTGGTGCGATGTCTTATGATTTTTGTTTTCTTTTATATCTCTTCTCCCTCGTGCATATCACTGCATTGTAGAGGAGTTTAGAAAATTAATATATTTTTTTTGTAAATTATATTCCTCCCATATTCCTTTTTTATTCGTAGTATATGTTTTTGGTACACTTATATTAACATTCATTTAATAGCATTTATCATATATGATATTTGACTAAATTATCATTATCTCTTCCTAGAAAATAGTAGTTGAATAGCATTAGTTATAAATGATTATAAATGATATATACCTGCTTGAAGTAGTAAATTAAAGATGGAATTGGAAAAAATAATTAATGTGGCTTGATTTTCTAAAGCTATACAAATAGAAAGGACCTGAGGGAATAATCATGTCATTATTGTTTTGTTGTTCTTATCATTATAGTACTCAATTTTTATGGTCAATTGGACATAGATTATGTGAAATTATAGGCTTTTGTTTTAGCTATCCTGTATAGGACTATAGGAGTAATAAACAGAAGAAAAAACACAATTCCATTTTCTGCAATCACCCAACCTCTTTATAGTCTTTACAAAAATAATAAACCTTTTTTTTAATTAATAGTACTACACTGGTATACATCCTGTCCGTTTTAAATGTCGTTTTAGTCAATATAATTTTTTTATGAAGCAAGTGTAGCCCATTGTTTTAATAAATAATTTATACATTTTTTTAAAAAAGTTTCTCAACAGATATTATTCAAATTTGAGGAGAGATAAATGATAGTTTAGTCAAATAATCCATATTATAAATGCTACGAGGTAGTAGTTGCTTATCCAAAAGGATTGTTACACAAATAGTCGTCCAGATTTAACGTTTACTTTTTTTAGCCGGTATACATAGATTATACATTGATTATACATAGTTATACATAGTACATGAATTTATATATATATATATATATATATATATATTATATTATACATTCGCCGACTATTTTAAGTTTAAGAGATTAGGTAGACGGCTATTTGTTTTAAATTTTCTATCCAAAACGAGACATTAATTTTTCAGCCGATCAAAAAAGAATTTTTTGCTAACCTTCTTAGTTCTTCATCAGTTACTGTTGCTGATTACATTATGTGGTTTCTTTTGAATTTACTATGCCATTTTTCAATCCACAAATTGACTAATTTTTTAAAATTATATTGAGATTTTCAGCAACAATGAATGTTCTTTTCATGTTGCAGATAAATAAATAAATAAATAAATAAATGAATGAATGAATAGAATCAGAACTAATTGAAGGATGGGAAGTTAACATTTTATCAGTCTTGTCTTTTCTTCCTTAAATATTTCTCGTTTAGAACGATATATTCGAAGAGTTTCTGCTATTTGAACTCACACAGTGGGGCTTGCATGAGTTGGTTCGATCCCATAACTAGCTTCGACACCAACTTAGAAAAACTATATAGGAGTAATATATTTCTCTGTTTTAATGCTGAAAAAGACAAATAATCTTTTTGTATTTCCTAGATTTCTGTATCTGTTCTGTGACAGTGAAATTTACTTCCCAAAATTTCAAACTATGTGCTTTTAGCTGCATATTTGCACTAGATACAGATAGTGACAAAATGATGAGTATTAAGAATTTGAAATTTATGTGTTTCTATACCGACCTCGCATTAATATACGAGGTTTACGGTCAACAATATATATATATATATATATATATATATATAATACAAGATTAGGACAAAAGCTATTGACTTCATGTGAACTTCTAAGATAGGTCCGCCCTTGGAGACAAATACTTCTCTTGATTTTAACATTATTGTGATTGTGTCATTTTATTAATAAAAAATAGACTTAAAAAAAAAGCTTTTTCTTTAAAATTTTAATATTTGATTTGATCCTTAAAGGAAACGAATTAATTGGGTAAGGCTGTATTCGTGTGATCTATAAGTTACGGATTCGAACCGTGGAATCAGTTAATAATGCTTGCATTAGGGTAGATTGCCTACCTCACACACCCTTAGATGCAGCCCTTCCCCGGACTATGTGTTAATGTGAGATGCTTCCTGCACCAGGCTGCCTTGTTTATAATCTTGCATAAAATATTTATAGCAACTCACTAAGCTCTGTGATTGGTTTCCATGTTTGTTCTTTTATGAGATTTTATCTAAATATTCTATTCCATACTTTCTTATTATACAATTTTTCAATTGCATTGAAATGTTTTTACTAATCATTTTCAATTTACTCCTTTTTATGGTCTTGGCTCGGATGCTTCCAAACAACAAACATTAGATCCCAACGGTGAGATCAAGTTTTATAATTACTGCTTTTTACTAAATTTTTAGCTAAAATCATATATCATTTACATTAATCTGGTTTTTTTTTTTTCA